AAAAAAATTTTTTTCCTCATCTTCGTTCTGTGTCTTTTTTTGTAGGAGGGTGTCTGCATCCTTGTGGGCCTGGGGTACAATGGCAAGGACCAGAACGGAAAGCCTATGTGGGATGCCTGTGCCAACATGAAGGTCTGGCTGTATGAGACAACACCTTTATTCACAGGGACCATTGCTTCTTTCAACATCAACACCAACGCTTGGGTGGCCCGGTGAGCAGGAGAAACTTGTGTCAGTCACGTCTGTGTCAAGAGAACCAAGATCCTAGGCTGAGAAGGGTGTACTAGATGCTGTTTTTCAGTTCTTACACTATGCCTTCCACATTTTGCTACTGGCTGCTGTCCTGTTTGAAACAGGCTACTGTGTTGGATCGATTTTTTTGATCCAATCTAAAAGGGCAGTTCCTTAACACAGGCAAGAAGTTGAAGATGGTAGAAGCAGGAGGGCAGAGTGTAGAATGGAACTACAGTGAGACCACAGGGATATATGCAAAGGCCTATGGGCCCCTGGGCCTTGCATCTCTGACACGGTGAGGGAAGGGCAGACAATAAACCAGCAGCACTCTGTTTTTTCTCTGCTCTAGCTACATCTTCAAGCGTCTGAAGTTCCTGGGGAACAAACTGCTGTCACAGGCACTGGCCCTGTTCTTCCTGGCCATTTGGCATGGGCTGCACTCTGGCTACCTGGTGTGCTTCCAAATGGAGCTGCTCATAGTCATCGTCGAAAGACAGGTGCGCTTTGTCAGACCTACCAGAAGGGGGTCACCTGCGTTAGCCTTTTCCCTCGAGTCTGGAATCTTCCCCACTGAAGGCTCTAGTATCTGCTCAGCTTTGGAATTGGTGTTCACAAGCAGTACTGTGCTGTTCTTGAGGGTTCAGTAGGTTGCTGGCTTCTGTATGGGCAAGTTGTAAGTCTCCTGTCAGCTTCTACGGTAAAAGTGAAGAACTTGGCATATGAGTAGAGGGCAACGGCAGTGCTTGGCAGCTGGGAAGGTTGGAAGACAAGCACACGAGCCAAATACCTCCACTAGATCTCCCCCTAGTGAGAGAACAATATTCTATATTTAAATCCTTTTCATAGAATATCCGAGTTGGAAGGGACCCGCAAGGATCATGGAGTCCAACTCCGGGGTCCCCAAAGGACCACCCAATAAAATCAGACCATGGGTCCGAGAGCACTGTGCAAATGCTTCTTGAGCTCCGTCAGGCTCAGTACCACGACAGCTTCCCCAGGAAGCCTGTTCCAGTGCCCAGCCACCCTCTCTGAACAACCTTTTCTTGATATCCAGGCTTTTTTCTGATTAAAGCTTGAAGCAGGTTACTACTTAATTACTTTTTTAGACTGACTGTTCACTAAGATTAATTTAACACAGCTAGGTGGATGCTTTGGCTGCACATATACACCCATAGGACATCCAACTGAGAAAAAGCTTTCTTTTTTTCTTCCTTTTAAATTAGGTCATCAACCTCGTTCGGGACAGCCCTCCCTTAAGCACTTTGGCCTCCATCACTGCCTTGCAGCCTATTTTCTACGTGCTACAACAGGCTAACCACTGGATGTTTATGGGTTACTCTCTGGTGCCATTTTGCCTTTTTACGTGGGACAAATGGATGAAGGTATTTACTAGCCATAAGCAGACAATCCACACAACCAACCTCTTTTCCTTGCTTTTTTATTCTTAGTTCAGCTCTGCTTGCTGATTCTCAACCGTGCCTCTCTCTTTACAGGTGTACAGGTCTATTTATTTCCTTGGCCACGTGTTGTTCTTCACCTTATTATTGGTGTTGCCTTATATTCGCAAGTTAATTGTGCCACGAAAAGAAAAGCTAAAAAAAGCAGAGTAACAGCCAAAAGGTAAGGCTATCCTATGTTTAGGGACATGTGGTAGGAATCCCACACTTAGACTAGGAGGTGAAGTGGTGCAGCAGTGTTACAGCCCCAGGTGAAAGGGGAATGTAAGAACAAATGAAACAACTCTAATAGCTTTTTCTCTTTCAGATTGTACCACCTGTGCATTTGTAGGAGTTAATTTAACACTCCAGAAGCAAAGCATCACCTGCCAAGTTTGCTGTGTTGAAGTATAACTTTTTTCAACGCGAGGAGGGGGAAAGAGAAAGCACAGGGTCAGAGACCCAAAAGGAGGGGATTGGAGTCGGTCTCGTTCCAGAACCTCCACCTTCTGTATGTTGCCTTATCTCTCTGCCGCCCTCCAGTGGACTCTTGTCTCCCTGCTGATATCAGATGATTGTAAGACACTCAATGCAGGCACTATGTTGGAATGGAGCCACCTTCTGACTTTTCTACGTTTGTCATCCAAGATAAAAGTTGCTCCTGTTCTTTTTTTTTCAAATCCGCTTCAGCTCCTTTCCTCTTGGGTACATCAGTGCGGGAGTTAAAAACTGTCACGCGCTGCAGAGCAAGAGCTGCAGGTCCATCAGGAATTTGGGCTGGGCCCCTGCTGTAGGCAAATCCAGCCTATTTATGAAACATGAAGTACAGTACACAAACACTCTTATCAAAAGTTACCTTTAATAGGGAGGAAAAAGGGTTGCTAGGGCAGTCGATTTAAAGTCACGTTGTTCCAGAAGCTGCAACGACAAAATTGAAGCCTTTTCCCTTCCCGGAGTCCGAAGTTGCACCAGGCCCACACAGAAGTAAAAAAGCCTCCCCAAAATCTGGAGTCACTGTAGAGTAGTCCACCATGACAGCAGATGAGGCAGAAGCTCATACCACTCCCCAGACCTCCTCAAAGGCAGTAGTAATTTTAGCACATGTCAAGGCAGCAGAGAGAGGGTAGTTGCTGATAGAAATCATCTTTTCTGTATAGTCAACATTGACCTGGGAGAAAACAGGAAAGTACATATTTATCTGCATATCAAACCACATCTTATCACTTAGTCCCATCTACTTCCATTGCTCACGGAGGCACACCATTACTCCTACATGCCTGTGCTTCATCTGAGACGTGACATAGCCACAACAAAGCACAGCAGGACAACTGCTTGCCCTCACTATTTCCCCTCTACCTAGAGGTTGCAAAGTCACAAGTGTTAAAGGAGTTGGACAATTTCTTGCCAGGCTTACCTTAGAAGAAGGGCTAGGAAAAATGCCCAAACAGAAGATAAGGTAGGAAAAACACTCAGAGTAACACTGAAATCTATTGTAGCAAAGATTTTTCCAACCCCAGGTAATGCACACATGTACGTACCGAACCATGGGCAAAAGCTCCCACAACAATAGTTACTGGCTCTGCTGCAGGAACCAGTTCACGCAGGTCTGTCACCTTTGGAACTGCAAAGGAGGTGCCTATCTTCATACAGCCCACAGGGAGATGGTCATTGATGGGATTTTTAATCACCTCGAGAAGACAGAAAAGTTCACGAGTGCAGGGTAAGTTACGTGATAGGGTCTCTAAGTTAACCGTATAAACAATGCACTTACAGCACGTGCATTACTAGCTGTAAAGAAGGAACACTGCACCATTACCTATAACCATTCAAGGAGTGTTTACCTTCAACAGCTTCTGAGGCCCATCAGCTGCTCGGACACTGAGCTTATGCAGCAACTGAACTGACAAGAGAAGAACATTAGTTAAGCAACCTGTTCTCTGGCTGGAACAATTCTATACTCTACCTAGTGATGACAGCTAGAGGAGTAGCTCCCCACATCTTCTAAAGTAGTCTGATCCAAAAACACTGATCAGGGAGTTATTTTGCCAGTAACAAGTCTCATGCAGACAACTCCCAACTGTGTTAAGGAACGTATATTTGAAATACGCATCTAGAAACTCACTACAAAAAGTGTTTTTCTTCCTCTTCTCCCACTTTTCCATTTTTCATGTTGTTGCATATTTTTTTTTTGACTCTTCACAATGTCTTTTCCATTCCTACCACCTTCCCGTGTTATTTTACGATGACTAGAAAGCCTGAATCACTTACCCATTAGACCACAGAACCGATCAAAAGTTCTTGGGATCCTGGTCTGAGGGTTGACCTCGATTAAGACGTTCTTCTGCGTATGGATGTAAACCTGCAGGAGACCAGCCCGATTCAGGGGGCTATCCATGAGCATCAGGAGACTCTGAAAAAAAAAAAAATATGTATATCACAGAATCACAGAATTTCTAGGTTGGAAGAGACCTCAAGATCATCGAGTCCAACCTCTAACCTAACACTAACAGTCCCCACTAAACCATATCCCTAAGCTCTACATCTAAACGTCTTTTAAATACTTCCAGGGATGGTGACTCCACCACTTCCCTGGGCAGCCTGTTTCAGTGTCTAACAAAATATATATATAAAAAGGGTAGTAGTTGAATTAGAGAAAGGGGAAGAAAGGAAGATTAGAATAGTTAAAGTTTAGAACATGTGAATGTAGAAGTAATGCTGAGGCAAGGAGTACCGTATCTAACTATAGGAATTGCTACTGTAAAAAGATAATTCTAGACACAAACTTAGAGGAGTTACTAGACATTAGCACAGTGAGCAAGGCCAAATTCACTCCCACATCCCCCAGACCGCCCCCCAGCCTCCAGGGGCCGTCTCCCCAGCTCACTGGGGGGGCACACAGCAGACCCCAGCCCCCCTGGGTACCTGGTGGGTGATGTCGGGCCGCACCCCCGCGGGGTCCCGGCCGCTCCTCAGCAGCATCGCCTTGTGCTTGTCGCAGTTGAGCAGCTCGAACGTCTTCCCCACCTGCGGGAAGGGGGGCACAGCTCACAGGGACGCGCACCGGGCACCGCCGGCGCGGCGGGACGAGGCACGGCGCCCGCCCTCACCTTCACGGTCTCCAGGCTCGCCCCCTCCAGCACCACCAGCAGCCGCCGCTGCCCCGCCGCCCTCTTGGCCGCCGGCGGAGCCTCCTCAGCCGCCTCCCCTCGTGTCCCGCCGGCCGCCGCCATTTTGCGTCCCCGCCCCGCTCGCCCCCAGTCCCCGCCCCGGGGCTGCCGCCTCCAAGATGGCGGCGGGTTCCGGAGGCGGCCCCGGGAGGAGGGGAGGGGAGCGGGGCGGCCCCTTCCGCTGTCCTTCCCGGCGCGGCCATGGCGCAGAACCTGAAGGACCTGGCGGGGCGGCTGCCGGCCGGGCCGCGCGGTGTCGGCACCGCCCTCAAGCTGCTGCTGGGCGCGGGCGCCCTGGCGTATGGCGTCCGCGAGTCCGTCTTCATCGGTGAGTGAGTGCCCGCTCCCCGGCCCCGCGCTGCCCGCCTCCCTGCCTCCCTGACCGAGTGACTCCCTCTCCCCGCAGTGGAAGGCGGGCAGCGGGCCATCTTCTTCAACCGCATCGGCGGCGTGCAGCAGGACACCATCCTGGCCGAGGGGCTGCACTTCAGGTAGGGCACGGCTCCCTTCTCCCCGTCCCCCCGTCCCCTCGTCCCCCCTCCGCCTGACGGGGCGCCCCTCGCCCCCTCAGGATCCCCTGGTTCCAGTACCCCATCATCTACGACATCCGAGCCCGGCCGCGCAAGATTTCCTCCCCCACCGGCTCCAAAGGTGAGAACGGCTCCACAGGGCGCACCACGAGGCCCTGGTGGCTCCCATGTGCACGCCAGCCCCGCTCACTTCTTCACCCGTCTCCTCCTCAGACCTGCAGATGGTGAACATCTCCCTGCGCGTCCTCACCCGCCCCAACGCCGCCGAGCTGCCCAGCATGTACCAGCGCCTGGGCCTGGACTACGAGGAGCGAGTCCTGCCCTCCATCGTCAACGAGGTGCTCAAGAGCGTGGTCGCCAAGTTCAACGCCTCGCAGCTCATCACACAGAGAGCTCAGGTGACTCTCCCCGAGCAGGCTTCTGCCCGCCTTGCAAAGGGGTATTTAAACCCTGCATGCTGGCAATGGTACAGCAGGTGAAGGATAAATATATCAGTTTTGTAGCAAATGCATCCAAAACAGAAAGAACACAAAAACACTTACTGATTACAGTTCAATTCTGGTACAAACACTGAGGCTGTACCACCAGCCTCAGCAAAGAAAATCACATTCATGATATATAGCGTCTATATAGAAATATTCATGATATATAGCACTATATAACGTAACACTGGGGGAGAAAGAGCTGACTTACATCGTGGTACATGCGTAACAGTAAAATTGGCTGTAAAAAAAAATTACCTGGTCCTTCATGGGTATCAGAAGAGCTGTCAGAGCAAACGCTTTAAAAGGATCTGAAAAGAGAAATGGATGAACAGTTAAAAGAGTTGTAAATGTTCAGTGATAGATGCTACAGAAGAGTGAAAAATAGTTCTGTTTAGAAAAACATAGAAGGTAATCCGGGGAGGGGAGGGTGTGCAAAATTATAGAAGTAATTAATTTGTAAAAGCCCATACCTCTAAGTTTATGTTCTGATAATTTGATTGCCAGGGATTCTGAGAATATCTGTCACCTATTCCAGATGAGGGAGAGACAAGTTGCTGATCTTCTTTTAAAAGGCTTTAGAGGAGATCCTACGTGAGACTGCTAAAGAGGATGAGTTGGCAGAAAGATGAAACAAAGCACCTCTTAACTTGTTTCAGATCCACAACAAAAAAAGGCAAAGAATAGAGATGAGTGTCTAGATTTTCTGTGAGAATTCATCCTTAATTTCAGGGGTTTGTCTTCTGCCATGTGGTCTGCATTGAGGAAATTACTTAATTTTTTACGTCTTGTATAAGGAGGATTAGTGGAAAGGGACAATATAATAAGAAAAAAAAACTGGTTGCAAATGATTTAGATATTGTGAAGTAAAGCAGAGAATAGGTATCTCTGAAAGTTCAGAACAAACTAAATCGAATTTCATTCTTATCATATTTCCAGCATTACCATAAAGTGATACGTACGGAACTAGTTGATAATCAGATGAAAATGAAGTGACTTTACATGGTTACGTGCTTGCAGTTCACTCAGTAAAGGGTTCTGTCATCGTTTTAGAATTCTGCTTAGAAATAGCTGCAATAGAAATAAAAGCAAATACTAGACAGGTCAAAGGTGTGATACCATAGCAGTAACTTTTATTTAAATCATTATTTCGTGCAGGATTTATCAGCCTATCTGAAAATCTAAGGAGATAGTCAAATTCCAAACAGTGGCAAATTCAAGATGGAGAAGGAAATACTTATTGCCAAAACATGGATGAGAACATGGAACTACACAGCATAGGATGTGAAAACAAAAGAAAAAAAAACACTCAAGGTTTTTTTCCCAATATTAATTGTATAGTATGGTTAAATAATAATTATGGATAAGCTGTGATTTGGCATTTGAAAGCATGTGCAGAGTTATTTAGAGGTGACAGATTCACAGAACAGGCATTAATGTCCATGTTTCAAGCTTTGTTTTAGGGAATGTCTCTCAGGTGCGGTGTGAATGAACTGCGAAGAGCAGTTGTGCTTCGGTTTTATAGTGCACAGGAAGGGAGAAGCAGCCTGCGTGTGGTACTCTTTTTGCTATACTTGTGTTTCAGGTGTCTCTGCTCATTAGGCGAGAACTGACGGAGAGAGCCAAGGATTTCAGCCTCATCCTTGATGATGTGGCTATCACAGAGCTGAGTTTCAGTCGTGAATACACAGCGGCCGTGGAAGCTAAGCAAGTGGGTGAGTTCAGTTTAGGCCTGGAAAGGGGGGGTTGCTTTTGCCTTTGTACTGAGTTTTTAAACAAGGTAGCGAAGTTGAGTTAGTATGTCACTGCTCTTGCATTGATACAGCTACAGCATTGCAAATCTCAGCTTGCTTAGTAACGGAGCCAACTAGGTTATTTCACGAGTATTATCAAAAAACCTTGGGCTATAGCTCGTGGAATAGATCATTGGTGGGACTGTTCCCAGAGCTGTAGGATTCCTTTTCAGGGTGTGACTACCCTTTACTCTATGGGGATTATGTTTAGAGGGCCTGGTTGCTGTTGGTTTTACTTTTTTAAAAAAAAAAAGTGTGTGTGTGCGTATATATATCCCTAGAATGCGATCAGTTCTGTTGGAAGCATGAGCTCCCCAGGCCTCAGGTACAGAACCCTCGTGGAGAGTTCAGGAGATGGGATCTGCTTTGAATGCTTTTGTCTGTTCCCTCTGTAGCCCAGCAGGAGGCACAGCGCGCACAGTTCCTGGTGGAGAAGGCCAAGCAGGAGCAGAAGCAGAAGATTGTTCAGGCTGAAGGGGAAGCTACAGCTGCTAAGATGATATCCTGCTCTGGGGTATTTTGCGGGATGTCTTGTGAGCTTGGCAGTCCTGAGAATCTGTTGCAATGGGTTCGTGTTGATCAGACTGATGAGATGATAGCCTCGAATAGGTTGCTATTTGTTTTCTGTGGTTTGTTTTTCTCCTTGCAGTTGGTTGGAACGGTATTTGTTCGAGGTTACAGCTCAGAGCAGAGACCCTGAGCCTTCACTCCCTGTTGTTAAGGTTTAACTTCTTTTGGCTGCATGTGGCCATAACCCTATTGTTCTTGATTTAGGAATGCAACAATGTCCCTACCCAAGAGGCTCAAGTTACTGGAATAGCAACTGCATTTTTTTCCTCTAAGATACTTGTTGATACAGCATAGGAGGAACTTACTGAATGCAGGGGGCTTCTCTTAGTGGGTTTTTCCTTAACTTTTGCTCTCCTGTACCTCGGTGAAGCTCTGAGCAGGAATCCAGGCTACATCAAGCTACGTAAGATACGAGCTGCTCAAAACATTTCAAAGACGGTAAGTGGTGGGGCACAGAATACCCATCTTCCTATTGCAGTCATTCTGCTGTGCTGCCTGTGCAGTGCCCACATGGGCGAAGTTAAGGTGAATGTGACCTGCCTTGTACCAATCTTTATTCCTGCCATGCTCTCTTCTGTTCAGATAGAGCTAACAATTTCGTTAGCAGTGATCAGCACTTACACGTGGTGATAGGAGTTTGTGTCTGAGAAAAGGGGACAGATCAGCATGGGGTCAAAAGTCTGTCTGATAAGGAGACAGAATATGAGCACTTCCTTTAAAACGTCTGACAGTATAAGGAAAGGAAGTCAGGAGATGCAGTTGATACAACAGAAGGAAGGGAGGCCATCAAAGGGACCTGGACAAGCTTGAGCATTGGGCCCATGTGAACCTAGTGAGAATCTCTTCTCTACGGAAGAGAAAGCTCCGGGGGGACCTCACTGAGAGCTTTCAGCACTTAAAGAGGACTTACAAAAAAGATGGAGAGCGACTCTTTGCACTGTCAGATAATGGTAGGACAAGAGGGGATGGTTCTAAACCAAAAGAGGGGCGACTTAGATTAGAGGTTAGGAGGAAATTCTTCTTTCAGGGGGTGGTGAGGCACTGGAACAGGTTGCCCAGAGAGGCTGTGGATTCCCCATCCCTGGAGGTGTTAAAGACCAGGTTGGACGAGGCCCTGAGCAACCTGATCTAGTGGGTGGCATCCCTGCCCATGGCAGGGGAGTTGGAATCAGGTGATATTTGGGGTCCCTTCCAACCCAAGCCATTCTATGACATTACATGTATATCATTGTTTTTGGGAACTAAGATCTTAAGTGCATACAAACAAGACTGCTGTATGTAGAGGGAGTGACAGATTCTTTTTTAATGCTATTCTTCCTTACGTATTTATACTCTTTTATACCACCTCTATTTTTCAGATTGCTGGTTCACAAAACCGCGTGTATCTCACAGCAGATAACTTGGTACTGAACCTGCAGGATGAGGGCTTTACCAGGTAAAGGGGACAGTTGTTGTGGGTGGATTTACCTGCACCTTACCTGTGAAGCTGCTCTTCCATCTGGAGCTCTCTCAGGATCTTTCCTCTGAGAGGAGCCTGATGCTAGAGGACAGACAAGTAGGCTGCAGTCCTGCTTACTGCAGAAGTTAATTTTTTTCACTGTAATTGATTTACTCTTGTTTTGTTTTTTTCTTTCCTTGCCCCCGTGACCCTTACTGCATCTCCTGGCACAGAGGAAGGTAAGACACTGAACTTTGTCTTAATCCTTTTGCTAGTACTTGGAACAAGAGTGTTGATGTTTACCAGGGTGTTGCTTGGGCCTTTCCATCTGTCAGGAGTTTATTCTATCTCTGTCTCGGTTCCCATTTGTGATGTGAAGCTTGAAGCCTTTCCTTGCAGGGGCCACACAAACATCTACATCAAGTAGGAGATGCTCAGTAATTGGAGCTGTTTGTGTGGGGAAGGCAGGAGTAATATCCTGAGGAGTGTCCTCTGGTCTATCTTCCACATCTGCGTTTATGGCAAAGAGGACTCAACAAAAGTAGCTAGATGTTTGTAGGAATTTGTGTTGATGTGGGGCAATGGTCTCTTGCAAAATGCTCTTGTTATTCTCTAAAAGCTTTCCAGTGCATGCTAGAAAAACTCATTCCCTGCTTTCAGAGCTGGACAGAGTTTGGTGGCTTTGGTCTAATCTGTCTGTGTTTACTGGGTAATGGAGTGCCAGCTGAGTTTATAGGATGTAGCTAAAAATCTTAGAATGAAGAAAGGAAATCAGAGCTGTCTTCTTTTTTACTTCCCTGGGGCATCTCTGATCTTCCTTGCCCCTGTTTGACCAGATTCTGTCTTATGTGTCCCAGCAGACCTAAGGGGATTTTGAAAAAAAAGGGACTTTAAAGTTGTCCTTTTGGACAACTTGTTTGGCTGAGGCACCCCATAGCCCCAAATCTGTAGTGAGGGTCTGACTTTGCTTGTACTTCCTGGACTGACTCACTTCTGTCTTCCTTTCAGTGACAGTCTCCTACTCAAACAAGGGAAGAAATGAAAGAACTGAAGCCAACTAGAACCGTCGGTGCTGACCAGTAGAAGATAAGATACGAGTGAGGAGCTTTGAACTTCCTGCACTGGCATTGTTTGCCCTCACTTTGAAATTGTTAAACCAGTAACTAGACTTAGTTCCCATGCCCCAGCTCCATCTGTGGTGATCCAGTTGTGGGACTGGGCTCTACCACAAGGTATCTGTAATCCCTTCTTCACCTCGCTAGTTAAATCTGGGGAGGGGGCAGAGGGGGGTTACTGGTACTAACCCATGCAGATATAGTAATTCACCTCTAATTGTCATTAATCTGCGGATTTCTGTAGGGTAAAATTAGACCAGTTTTTTACTTTGTTTTGGCCAAGTGAGGGTGTTCTGCCATCAGCGTGAGACCTTCTTCTAGTAATATTGGTTTCTATTTCACTGTCAGTCCCAAGACTGAATTCAGGATAATGTCATTCATTGGGTGCCTGTCACTGCTGGAATATCTGTCACTGTGTGCTCAGTGATTTTCTCAAACATTTATAAAAATTAAAAGCCTCAAAATTTATACTGTGTGTAAGTGTGCTTAGTTCCCGAAAAAGAGGTTATTTTCCATTAGGGGAAAATGGAGTAGAGCTCTTCTTTGGTTGCAGGCACCTTACCAGTTCTTAGGCAGGTACCTCACCTTGCAGGCTCACTGAATTCAGTTTCCACTGAATTACAAGCTACGTGGGCCAGAGCTCCAGGTATGTCTCATTTCTTCTCTTTTCTCCCCATTCACCCGTCTGGATTTCTGCTCTACATTGAGAGGAGAGAATGTGGTCCTAGGATCCCTGCACCAAAGCAGGGGAAAACTACAGCTAGGTTTCTCAAGTGCTCACTGTGGTCTGGTGTCAGGTGAGAGTGATGGATTATTCAGTTCCCTAAATGCCATTGACTTCATACACAGGGCCTAGATGTGTCTCAGACCAGAAGAAATTCTCCCATGCTTCCAGGCATTCTGAGTCCTAGGTCACTTCGTGAATTTCATCTCAGACTTTCCACTAAGTAGGGACTGAGCTCTTCCACTTATCAGCTCTAACCAGATTCTAGTCCAGGCCACCTCAACAGTCTCTGAGTATCAAATGCTCACAGATCAAGCAGTGCCTGTAAATTAAAGGTTCCCCAGCATGTCTGTTACCTAGTGCAGCTGCCACAAAAAAGTTTGGGTCTGACTTTTTGCAGATAAAGCCATAGCTTTATCCAAACTCGGCATTCTCCCACATTTTCTAGGTACAGCTCATGGACTGGGGCCTAGTTTGGAGGGGCATGACTAAAAGCTGTGCTGAGGCTCATTGCCACCACCACAGACAGGCTACAGTACTTGAACACTCACCAGCGTTCAGATTCATACGAAATGGTGGGGGGAAGGGGCCTCAGGAGGACTTTAGTCCAGGTTCCTGCTGGAAACGTGCCAGCAGTAGATCGCGTGGGCTGTGACTTTGTCCAGGCAGTACTGAAAAGCAGCAAGAACAGAGTTCCCGTGCTGAGCTTCTGTTGGAATGGTGCCTGATGAGGAGATGGGTGTTCAACCCGAGCCTCCCAAGCTGCAATTTGGAGCCACTGCCTCTGGCTCTGCAGTGTGCCACTATCTTCATGAGGGGCTCCTCGGTTTAGTTGAAAATGAGAGCAGCTTGCCCCTCAGCCTCCTCTTTACCAGACTAAACAAGCCAGCTCCCTTAACCCCTTGTAGGTAACTGGCTATCATCTGTGAAACCATGGTGTGGTCATGCTCTGGTCTGCCTTCTCTGTAAAGACAAAATTTCAGCTCTACAACTTTTCCAAATACCAAAACAGAGGTGCAGAAGTCTGTGCCTGACTGTCACAGCTGACTTTCAGTGATGAGACTTAACCTGACGGCTATAAACACTCAAGTCTCGCAGTAAGATGCCACCATAAGGTTGCCAGAACTGATGAAAACTAAGCTAGAGCTGTTGTAAGGCTGCAGGACTGTAAATGAAAGCAGGAGAATAGCTATACCCCAATTCTAGAGGAAATTTCCAGGTCAGCGTTCAAACAAATACATTTTTATTTACAAACACTAGTGAAAACATGGCCATCACATCAAATTCTGGCATATTTACAGGATCAAATAGAAAAGGGGTTGGGGGGTAGAAGGTCAGGATAAAGAGAACAGGCAGTTACCTGTTGAATTACAGGCAGGCTAAGCTGAAAGAGGCCCAAAATGCCTGTATTTTAAAACAGGAGCCCTGGGGCAATGCTAAACAGGCTAAACTCTTTAACTCACGGGCAGGTAGAGATGTAGCTCCTGTAAAGCTCTTCTGTAACTCCTCAAGAAGAGGAGCTGCTGAAGCAGGGGTGAGTTTAGGTGCCAATGTGCACACACGAAGGGAAAGAAGGGTGTGATTTTTTTTTTTTTTCCTGTTAATGAATGAAGGACAATGAGCGAGTTCACAGGCCATGTGTGGGCGAGGGACAGTGAGGTCTGCTGAGCTGTGAAGCAGCCTGGTTCAGAGCACTGGAAGATGGCATGGAAGAAATGGGGAAGGCCTAGTTCCAGTCCGTGAGGTGGGGATGTGAGACAGGCCAGCCTGGATCCAAGCTCCAGTTCTGCACTCCATGTTCAAAACCTGCTTATTGATGCTTATTTTTTCTTTACTGAGCCTTTCTGCTTCTTGTCTGAGGAGAGCTGTTTCCGTACTTTCTCCTCCTTTTTGCCCAAGTTCTCATAAACTGTTGACTCCTCTTTCTGCCTGCTAGACCAGGAAAAAAGGAGAAAAAGTGAGCGGAAAGGAAAAGCCACTGAACCAGCAGGGAGAGCATTGCCAGAGGGTCAGCACTTACTTGGAGGATTTTCTTGAGGCCTTGGCATGCGCGTTCTTCATTGCAGGCGGGTAGGCAATGTTCCCATACTCAGACTCAGTTTGCTTGCTTTTCTGAGACTACAGGAGAGAAAATGCAAGCTGAGAAGAGTACAGGCTGGGAAAAGCAGTGCGAGGTATCATAGGAGATTTCTGGCTGTTAAACCACACATCACGCTAGGATCTCAGTGGATTTTGGTGTTGACTGAAGTCCTCAGGCTCAGTATTTTCTGCCCACCCCTAGCCCAGAGGTGAACACGCCTGTGTTCTCGTATAGGAGTGAACTGTGGGGCAATGAATTTCTGGAGGCACTGACATGCCTCATTGTGATGTGTTTTGGCTCACAGGATAGGAGAGTCTGCTTTCTCACCTGGATAACCTCCAGCTTTTTCTTGGTTGTCTCTATGAACTGGCAGATGGCCATGTAGATGAACTTGTACTGGGCCTCTGTCTGCACCATCCCTGAGCGCTGGGACCTCACCATCTGGATGGTCTTCTGGATGTCAATGTCACAGTCCAGCCCTAGCAAGGGGCACCAGAAAAGCTTTGCACATGTTTGCTGACACCCCCCTCTCCCAGTTCTGCACCAGAAGCAGTCACAGTGGAGCTCAGTCAAGAAGTTTTCAACTCCCTTACCTCCCCCATGGACCTCCCACCCCTCCTTCCTGCTCAGCATCTTCCAAGGCACTCTGAGGTCCTCTTACCCTTGGTGGAGATTGCTTCCACTATCATATCGATGACGATGATCGTCCCCGTGCGGCCGATCCCAGCGCTGTAAGGAGAGAACAAGCAGAGATCAGAGCTGCCTGTACATCAATACATCCCCCCCAGCTGAGCACAGGCCAAGGTCCTGAAACAAAATGCAGCTGTTTCTGGGGCAGCTGTTTCATGAAGCACTCATAGCAGCTGTTTGTTGGTGCCACAGAAGAGTCAAGGATTCAACAGGCAGCAGGGTTTGGTTTGGGGACATCAAAGAGGAGAAAGGGTTGGCATGTGCTTCGCTCACATGTCCTAGGGAACGGCTGGTGCAGCAGGACAGAGACTTTACCCCTCAGACCCTAGGATCTGTACCAACCTGCAATGCACCAGAATGGGCCCAGCAGCTGGGATGCTCTCCTGCTTCTGGTTTATTTGGTCGAGGAAGCTCAGCACTCCTCCTGGCTCACTGGGGACACCGTGGTCAGGCCAGCTCAGGTACTGGTAGTGCCAGATCTCACGCACAGCATCACTCTGATAACAGAAATACCCCACCGGTAAAACTGCAACCCAGACCCAACTCTGTCCCAAAGAGAGCTAGGTTTTAAGCCAAAGTTTTGTGCACCCCTTGGTGATTCCACCAGTGCCCCAGCCCAAAACAAGGGGGAACAACAACCCTGGACTGATGCAAGAGCAGCACCACCACAGCACCCAGCAGGCTCCATGGCAGCCCCCAGCCAGGCACACTCACGTTGTTCTTCGGGCACACGCAGAGGTGGCGGAGTTTGTATTCCAGTGCGTCGTGCTCCCCGATGTTCTCCACGAGGTAGGGACCGTATTCTTTTGTGCTGCCCAACTCCGGCCAGTAGGGCACGCATTTATTCTGCGCAGAGAGACAGGAGGGTGAAGGCAGGCAAAATGCAGGAAAGAGAAAAAAAACAGCCGTGGTTGAAGGGGAAAAGGGGGCAGCTCCAACACCTGCAAACACCAACTTACCCGCCCTTTTTCTACCTCCCGCGTGGTCATCACAATAATGCGAGTGTTCTCCTGCCACACCATCTGCCAGAAGTCATTGACTGTGGCGTCCAGGCAGCCCTGGCTCGCAATGTAGGTCTTGGTGCACTCGTCTGGGCTGATCAGATTGTTCTGGGTGTGGACAGGGGAAGGTCAGGAGGGCTGCAGGAGTTGGCAGGCCTCCCCCCCCCACCTTGGGCGTACTGCCAGCTTTCAAAAGCCTCACCTTGACGTAGTTGGCGTTGATATAGTCGGATCCGGGGATGTTTGGGTCCCTTCCTTGGAGGATGACTCTAGAGTGATCGACTAGGGGTGCAGCAAAGGAATAAACAGAGTTATGAGATATTTGGTGCCCGGTGACATGAAGCTCCTTAGCTGCCCCATGCCACCTCACCCAGATTACCCAATGCACACAGTATGGGTCTATTTTCATACCCATTTCATACATTTACGTTATTTTCAACTCCTTCTCTGAGGTCAGGCCAGTTTTAACCTGTGTTCCCATTTCTCTCCCCCCATGACAGACCATAATCTATAATCCAGTCTGCTGCAAACTTCCTTCCTTCCTTCCTTCAAGGTCATAAAAATGCTGTGACCTCTTATCAGCTCTTAAATCCTCAAATTAAGGGCCTCATAATCATAATGCAGACCTCATAATCTACCATGGAAGACAGAGCAGGCCAAGACAGGGCAAGAAATGACTTGGACACCTCTCCAGTCTCTGTCTACTTGCCTTTTTTATTTTATTTTTTAAAACAGCAAAGGAGCAGGACTCACAAGGCAAGATGTTCTTGTATCGGTTCTTGCTCTTGTTTTCAGGTCTCTGTCCCTCATGACGGTCAAACAGCTGCTTGGCTTCCTGTTTTTGCAGGCTCTGAAAAACAGGAGAAAGTTATGGTAAAGCCACAACATATGACAGGGAAGGTGGACACCCAAAGGAGGGGTGGCAATTCTTAGGACACATGGGTATGCTTGTGGGGGAGCAGAGAAGTGAAAA